CTTTGTAGAGCCGCCTTGAGATGAATAGATGAAAAGGAAGGCACTATGCAGTAGGACATTCATGTGTTGGATGTTCGTAACTTAAGAAGATGACCAGACAATGAAGTATAGGGTAAGATGTTCAAAATGAGCTCAAGATACTATTATTTATTGATAGGTGAATGTCTAAATTCTAAATAGTGGTCTAGAATCTAGAATTCTAGAACCATAGGGTGGCTTGGTTATGTTTGGAAACATAAAGCCCTAAGGTTTATGTTAAAAAACTGTTCATATAAAGCTATGTGTTTTCTGTTATCTGGTTATTAAAGATACAATAAAACTACATCTTATATTGAATTTTTACTTAGAGGCTTTTGCAAATTTTCAGTGAAATTTAATTTTTAGAAAATGATCTTACAGCTTCTTCTCGAAATAAGTGACCTATACTCTATTTCTTAGATTTCTTTTTCCTAGAACTTGGCCAGATCTTATCCCTATTAATGACTTTTAGTTTTAAAGAGGACGCAACTTCAATTTTTACATAGAACTATAATTATTCTTTATTGATATCAAAATAATTAAACATCTCTTTTGTGCAGTTTAGCCAGAAAGCTTTGAATTTTTTGAACAGCTATTTATTATTTATATTTTCTATACTCTTAACCATTTAAAGTTAATTTCTACAAGTACATCCTTTTAGAGCAATAGTAGAAAATAAGTGAGAAAAAGGCCTTGATTGAAGTTTTTACATTTCATTCAGTTGGTTCAACCTTATTATGCCATATTTTGATACAGACTAAGAGTAAGATATAATAAGGCAATATTATCCAAAGTATGGATTATTAATAGGTGTTATGAAAAATTTTTAGAAATGCTGGATAAAACATTTGAACAGATTTCTTTCCTGTAGAACTTCTTAGAGCCTTTGATTAATATACATCAGTGGGTGCCATGAAACTCCAAGAAGGGAAAGATAGCCTGTAACTTTTCTAAACACTGTTTGTCTGAAAGAACAACCCTATAGACCTGCTGTTCACAGAACACACATTGGGAACCTTGAAAAGGAAAATGAGTGCTTTCCATACTAACTGTTGATATGATTAATGTTACATTCTCTTAAGTTTCTTGAAAAGTATTAGAGTCACTATATGGCATAAATTGATATATTAATAGCACCACCTTTACGTTTAGTTTTTACCTTTTTCCTTAAAAAGATTTGCCTTTGGAGATAAGCAATTATGCAAAGAAGATTATGAATTCAGATAATTCATATTATTCTTAAGATTTAAGAAACAAATAATTCAGCCAAAGAGTAGCTTTCACAATCCTCATCAGAGCTTCTGTAGGAACATATGCTTAAAAAAGAAACTAAGGAGGGATACATGGGTGGCTCAGTGGTTGAGCATCTGCCTTCAGCTCAGGGCATGATCCTGGAGTCCTGGGGTTGAGTCCCAAGTCGGGGTCTCTGCATGGAGCCTGCTTCTCCTTCCACCTGCCTGTGTCTCTGCCTCTCACTCTCTGTATGTCTCTCATGAATAAATAAATAAAATCCTTAAAAAAAAAAAAGAAACTAAGGAAAAACCACTTTTGTTTTTTCTCCCACAGGATAGATCTGGTTTTGTTTAACTGCACAGTGACTTTAACATTTGAATTCCTTCTCAAGGGCAGCCCGGGTGGCGTGTGGTTTAGCGCCGCCTTCAGCCCAGGGTGTGATCCTAGAGGCCAAGGATCGAGTCCCACATCAGGCTCCCTGCATGGAGTGGAGCCTGCTTCTCCCTCTGCCTGTGTCTCTGCCTCTCTCTCTTTCTCTGTGTCTCTCAGGAATAAATAAATAAAATCTTTTAAAAAATGAATTACTTCTCAACATTTTAAAATCTTGAAGTTTCACATAAAAATCTGAATTTCTAGCTACTCTTGAAAAATGGAAAAGTCTGACAGCACATTCACAAATGATAACTACTTGCTGAAGCTGTTTAAAGGATGGTTTACACTGGTGTGTCATAGCCTGCCTACCAACTATTGTCCTGGTGACTGGATAAATTTATGCTACCTGTCCATCCCTATGGACATTTAGTTTTGTGTAACCTCTACTGTGAGGCCATGGCGTGGCTGAAGGGCTAGTGGGGGGTGCCTCTTTCTAGAGTGACCTTTATAAGCAAACGTGGTCAGGTGTCTCCATGAAGAAGTGTTGGAATCTGTGTCAGGTTCATTTAAGGGAATTTTCACCATGTCTGATGAAGTCCCTATACACTCACCCCTCAGAATGTTGAGGCTCTTATTGCCCAGAGTATAATCTATTTGACAGCATACTGAAAAAGTTGTTTTACACCTACACCCAGTGATCCCTATATATGTAAAGGTTGTTTTGCTTTAGGAGATTTATATTGAAGTAGAACAGAGCTCTAATTTCATCCATTCTCAAAAATAGTTATTAAAAAACAAAAATCAAAAAGCAGTTCTCTTATTTGTATTCCACCTCTTTCTACAGTATATTTGAGTTAGCTTAAAAAGCATGGTACTGGGCAGCCCTGGTGGCGCAGCAGTTTAGAGCTGCCTGCAGCCCGGGGTGTGATCCTGGAGACCTGGGATCGAGTCCCACATCAGGCTTTCTGCATGGAGCCTGCTTCTCCCTCTGCCTGTGTCTCTGCCTCTCTCTCGCTCTCTCTGAATGAATAAATAAATAAATCTTTAAAAAAAAAAGCATGGTACTTTAAAAGTAGAGAAATATCTATGTATATAAATAAGGACCAGAAAATATATCAAAGAATAAGTCAGAAAGATAAAATATGGGTATCAGGCCTTGAGGGCTGAGAATAAACTTAGAGAGCATGCCTTATGTGAGAGTGGGCTTCTATTTTAGAGAGAAACCAGAGTGTGAATGGAACTTCCCAGTGCAAACAATACCACAATATTATTTTTTGCTTAGTGTGCAGAATGTGCTGATGTTGGCCTATGTTGACATTTTTCTGATTCTGTAGTGGTGGGAGCTCTGAGGAGCTATTTTCTGGTGGCAGCTGGGAAATAAATGCAGGTTCTGGAACTAGGGTTTAATCATTACTGTCTCTTGAGTCTTCTTCCTGTATTTTTACCTAATCTATAATACAGGAATAGGCTAAGGGAATGGGTTGCATGTGATGTAATGAAACAAGGGTGGGCGGGAGAAGAGGCAGTAATGAAAGCTCTCAGCAGGAAGGTTTGAGATAGCCTGCAGAGTTCTTTTGAGCAGCAGTAACCTACAGCTATTTTAGAAGGCTGCATTTTCTGTACTTCTGATTAAATGAAACCAGAATGCCATGAATACTACAAGGGAATTGTTTTCATTTGTGAAACAAAGTGTGACCCACAATTAAATTTAATTAACATTCAGTGATTAGAATTGCCTTACCAGGTCCTGAAGTTGCCTTAAATTTATCAGGGATAAGACTAGAAGAAGAGAGGGCTCAGTGTAGAAAAAGAAATGTCCTACTTTTTTGTTATTGGTGACATTAGAATCTTTGTTCTCACAGTATGAAGAAATTATGTTTTTAATTAAAAATTAAAACTGGGCCCTCATGAAAGGATTTAAAAATGGTGCTTTATGGTATTCGTGAATCTGCTTTTGTGGTAAATGTCAAGGGAACGGAAATTTAGTCAAATAGACCAAATGTTTCAAGTAAAGAGATTTTTTTTTTCACACGATAAAGGTGGAGCAAATGCTTAAATGTTAGCAGAATTGCAACATGTTTTCAGGGTCTAAGAAAAAAATGGAGATTTTACTACTTCGCACTAATGTGAAGGCAACAGTGTCATAAATGGCAAAAAGTTCGGTGAAGGGTGAATTTTATAGCAATCATAGGGAACGTGTGGACTGTTTCTAACTGAGCAATGCCAGTTTTGGAGTTGATTCAAGGTGTTTTTCTCATTTGAAAGTTTTACTAACTTTCAAATGAGAGTACTTAATATATCAAGCCATATAAGAAATCATCTTATGTGTTTTTTTGCATTGTGTCGATAGTTGAACAATGAGGAAAATGAAGAATTGTGTTGATGTTAAGAAAATGAAAAGTCAGCTGTTTTGTTTCCTATCCTATTGGTGAAACAGGAAAGTAAAGGCATGTTCTATAAAGACAGACACTGGTTTCTCTGCTTCTGCACGTAGCTCATTTCCCAGAGCAGCGGCTGACTAAACTGGTTGATTCTCAGGCAGTGCTGAAGCTCTCCTTTTGGTATGAGAGAGTTTTTTTGCATTTTTCTTTTAAGCTATCCTTTGATGATTGAGTTAGGGATTGAAAGGAATATGTTTAAGGTTAGGATTCTGATGAATTGTAGGCAGAAAGAGTATCAGTGAAGAGATATTACCAAATAGAAAAAATTATCTCCATAAAGATTTCTTTTTCTACTCTTTGAAAAGTTAGTTCAATTTCTAGGCTCACCTTTATTTAACCAAACTTATTTAGGAAAATCAGATAAATGAAAAATAGATAATGCTGTATAATGTATAATGCTTCAGTATTTGATATTGCTGGTAATTCCATGCTAACCTGAGGAGTGTCAATCTGTGTTAAACCAATATTTCCAAAAGATAAATGTTTCAATTTCAGGGGTTGATAAAAATTTAAAAGCCAAACCTATAGATAATTTTTAGAAAATATTCCTAATGTTCCTATTCCTGTTCTTTAGGTGAGCTCTTAAAAAGCTAAGTGCTTATCTGTGACAGTTTATAAACCATCTATCATGTGTTAAAATAGATCTGATTCAAAATCCAGAATCTGTCTCTAAAAGACTGCCTTTTTTCAAAATCACAGGTGGTTTCTGAAGGTTTCATGGTATATGTCTTAGAGTGTTGAGTATAGTACCTGTTAAGTAGATTCCCTGAGTTCTGATGAAAGGCACTCAATGCAGATAATAAATTAATAACTGGATTTTGTTTGGGTTGTATATGTTGTAAAATGCACGAATCAGTGGGTTTGTCTTTAGTCACCTTATTCTCATTTGGGGTTGATGGAAATGAAGTAAGGACCAAGTAAACAACTTTTTTTCAGGTGCAAATTCGACCATGGAACCTAAGTGACAGTGACTTTGTAATGGATGGTTCTCAGCCTTTGGACCCCAGAAAAACTATCTTTGTTGGGGGAGTTCCACGACCCCTTCGAGCTGGTGAGTGGAAATAGTAACACCACAACAACAAAACCACCAACAACAAAATCCCCAATGTATTAGTCTTCAATATTTTCTAGGTTTCTGCTCAGGTGTACACAGTCTCCAAAAAGAAGTTTCTTTGAGCTCTTTCAGGATTAAACATTTTCTCCCCAAGTGCTTTATTTCTTTTGGTGCACAAGTGAATTTCATTAAACTGTTATTTTGAAAGGATGAATTCTATTTAGTGCTCTCAACCACATATTTTAAAAATAATAATAATACATTTGACAGTGTGTGTTCTCATGTTAGCATTATTATTATGTATGACAGAAGAAGAAATCATTCCATCAGAAATCTTTCCAGCACAGCTGTGTACCCCTCAGTGACAAGCAAAACCACTGCTAGGACTTGTGTCACTGGGAAACAAACTGAACTCTTCCCAAGTGAAACATGTTCCTGTTTTTTCTTATGCACTTTGAAAAATGACTAATGTATTTGAGCATCTTTATTACAACTTTTTAAAAGCTTCCCCCTTTTTTTTCTTTTTTAAGTTCTTTTCCAATTATGAAATAATTGTGGACTGAGATTGGGCTGAATCATAATTTACTGGGGCATTTGAAATGATGCTGAGCCAATGACTTCAATATTTAAATCCAAAGACAAATCTAATCAGTGGCAGATCAGTGTTCTACCAGTAGAATACAATAAAATTATTTGTAAGAACAAAGTTTTTAAAGTGCTTAAAATAATTGAGTTTATTTTTCAAAAGTAAGATGAGAAAATAAGGTTACCATTGCCCCGTAGTTGCAAAAGTACAATGTTCTCTCTGTTTCTTGTAAGCAAGCAGACTTAGTTCTACTTAGAAAAGAAAAAGCAGACACCATGAAAATCAAGTAGTGAAAAAAGAATTATAAAATGTATCTACAGCTGTTCATCTCTGACTTAATTCTGAATGTTCATCAACATTTCTAATGTATTTGTTCAAATTTCAACTTCAATCTACTCCTAAAAGATAACAGTAGGCCTATTTAAAGATATATTCATAATTCCATTTTGAAGGACTTTAAAACACATAAACTGTAACCGAAGTTTGTAATTTTACAGTTTTTCAGAAAGCCAAATATCTTTAGGTCTTGTTCTCACTCTAATGGAATACTGTGCGGAGAGGAAGAAAGCCAAGCAGCAGAGATGCCTCCCTTTTATCTACTGTCAGAGAATAGAGTCTAAGAAGGGCTGACTCAAACGTGAACAGCATTATGAGATGAGGGCAAACGTAGCCCTTTGTTTCTAAACTGCTTGTGCTTTAAAAAAAAAAAAATGTGGGTGGGGCATGGAATATTCCTCTTTTTCTAACTGGTGTTATGTTAGGGAGAAGAATCCCCTTTGATAGTCTTTTAATCGCATATGTATTCTAAAAGAATGGGCATTCATTGCTAGCATTCGAGTTATTATTTTTTGCAGCGAACTACAAGTACAAATTAGTTTTAATATTCTAGCCCCTTTCCTTTTTTTTCTAGATGGGGATCTGAAAAAAAAAATTCTGACAGAAAAAGTCCCATAGTTATAAAAATAACAGAACTCGTTAACTTTTATGTCTGTTTTTAAGTCATAGACACAAAAGTTTATAAATTCCCTCTTTTATTATTTATTCTTTTTATTATTATTCACAAGATGCTACAAGTCCTAGGATTAGACAAGAATTATATTTAGTTATCTAGCCCAAAATGGGATTTTGTGTTTCCTACCTAGATGATAGACCTTTTATAATCTTCAAAGTTCTCCTTTTTTAAGCTAAGCTAAAGCTTTTTGTCTTAAAAGTTAAAGTATATTATTAAAATTAATTTCCTGTTTTGACTTTGTTTTGTTTTTACATTTGTGTGGATAGTAATTTACATTCACTTGGTTTAGTGAAAATGTTCCCCCATGCCAACACCTCCCATACATGTAGCTTGTTTCTAGATGGCTAAGCAATCTATATTAGCATCTTAGCATTTTACTTTCTATCCAAGCCTTCCAGATTGGAATCCATGTCATCTAAACAAAAAGAATTAACATCTGCAGCTTTTATCCATGTGCATAGAATTGGGTTTCTTTGGAACACACTGAGCTTTGTGGACTGGTGTGTGCCTTAGAATAGAAGACTATTTTTAAAGGAATTCATTTTGACTCTGCTGGGCAGTCTTGAATTGAATACAATGCAGTTCACTTGAACAATAAACATTTATTGAGCATCCACATGTTACTGGCACAGAGCAAGTACACATCTGTGCCAAACTGAATGAACATCCCATTATCTTGTTAAACAGGTCATCATCTACAGAGAGTCAGAGATTTCACAAGAGAAGAAAACAAGAAATGTATTAATAGAATGCTAACTCGAAGTAATTGAATACTAAATTAACTCTTCAACACAGTGATTCTCAGATTTGGTTTTTAAATACTTCAGGGCGTTTTTGATTACTTCTAGGGGCTATTGTGGTCATGGAATTCTGAAGTCTTTAAACTATCTCAGGCACTCTTTACAGGGTGATCCTGGACCAGACATGGTTGGTAATACTCGACAGGTGAGATTTTTTAGGTGTCCAGATTGGTTTTCACCTCACCCTAGGCCAAAAACTGTCCTTCAACATGTTACAGTAACTAAAATGTTATCACTCAAGGATTACTCCTTTGAATCTTTTTCTCTTTGATATCTTCCCATTGTTAGGGACTATTATCACTAATAAATTATTTGAAATATAGTCCCTATCCTACCCAACAGACACATACAAACTCTTCTAAAGAAACAAGGCAACCTGTTTTAAGCAGTATTTCCCTGGCTAAGTTTAAGTTGGTTCTTCCAGTCCTTTTGACAAGCCTTCCTTTTCAAAATTCAGGTTGGGGGAAAAAAAAAAAAATCACAGGCCTAAAAATATCAACCTGAAAATGAGAAATTATCAATGGAAAATCTAGATGTTTACCCGAAATTAAACTGTCTGACACATTCCTATTGTCTCTTGTCCCTCCCTTCCATCACTCATCAGTGACAGTGGCAAGCCAAGAACAGTTTGTCTTCAGTCTCTTGGCATTTCTCCGGTCTTGTCCTCCTTCCACTCCCCACCTCCCTACCTCTTCCCACCCCCATCCTAGGAAAGGCTATAGGTAGACTCACCATGCCATCATGTGGCTAAAGTTTACATATTCTTCAGAGAGTCAGTACTGGGAAAGGAGTAGTCTGTCTGGTTCTCTGCTTGCTACCACCTGAAAATCCAACAGTTGCCACTCTTCATTCAAGTAATGTGAACAGCATGTCTTTCTGAATCTCCGTACAGAAATAGCCCTATTGTATATTCCTGTGGCATTAGGACCTCTCTAAAATGCATCTCTTTGCTCTGAGGAGAAATAAGTGCCAGGCTTGGGGACTATGAAGAGGCCACCAAGAAAAAGTGGAGAGGACAGCCCCAGTGGCCCAGCGGTTTAGCGCCGCCTTCAGCCCAGGGTGTGATCCTGGAGACCCAGGATCAAGTCCCACGTTGGGCTCCCAGCATGGAGCCTGCTTCTCCCTCTGCCTGTGTCTCTGCCTCTCTCTCTCTCTCTCTCTCTGTGTGTGTGTGTGTGTGTGTGTCTGTCATGAGTAAATAAATAAAGTCTTTAAAAAAAAAGAGAGAAAAGAAAAAGTAGAGATGAAGTATCTAGTCCCTGTATGCTCCCAGTTTATAAACATGAGTATTGCAACCCCAGCTTCTTCACTTAGATGTCTCATATAGGAACTGCCTCAGTGATCAAACTTTGGGACCCATCCACTTCCAACTATAATCACTCTTGGAAAACCCCCAGACTTCTCTAATTAAGGGCATGTGAGCTGTTCTTTCACTTCATGACTTCCTTCTGAGAGTTTATCTAACCAGATCCTGCAGAACAGATCAATCTTGCGAGATTGCTTATCTAAGTCCTGGAGCCTACATTTGCTCATCATCTTTGGGTCTCTTGCCTTTCCTATTGCTCTAATTTTTTACTTTTTCTCCCCTACTAATATTCTGTGATGGATCCTGACATTTCCTTCTCCGCCTTTTTCCTCTCTCTGACTATTATGAGGATGGCTTTTCTGAGAGGAAAACAAAACAATATGAAAACTTTTGAGGTAAATATTCAGTGATGTATGCCATACATCTAGAGAACATCTTGAATTTTTCTAGAAGCATTTATTTCAGACATTCTGTACACTCTGGTAATTTATATGTATTAGGAACCACATCCTGATTTCTAATTTAGGAAATAGGAATAACCGTATCCTTTCTTTGTTGTTCTGTAAAGTGGTAGCAGGCAGAAATCATACCAGGTGTTTCTTAGTAGTAGAAGTTTTTTTTTCACCAAGTCCCAAGTTCAGCATGAAATGTCTCAGATAAATTCCAAATTTGGTACACTGACTTGATTAACTAGATTGCCTTTAGGGTTAAGTATTTTCTAATGCTAGTACATGCTTGCCTTCTCCCCCCCCCCCACCCCAAAAGCTAATGCTCACCCACAACTGATGTCAAACTTTGCCATATCATTGGCAGGTTTAGTAACATTAGCATAAAGCCAAAGTAAGACTGGGACGAATCCGTGCTTATGGAGCATAAACCGGGCCAAGTTAATATTAAGCAAAGATTTCTGAGTAAAGAGAAAAACACCTGCCGGGCAAAACTAAACATCTGAGCACCACTTGTGCTCACTAGTGTATTCAGAGCTCTTATGTATGTTTAATCGTCATGATAACCTTGTGAAGTTGTAAGTGGTAGACTTTTCGTTTTATTGATAAGGAAGCAGAGCTCAAAGGGAGTGATTGGCCAAGGCCACAATAAGTAAAAATGCCAAGACTTTAACTCTGATTTCCAGACTTCAAGTATTGATGTTCTTTGTGCAGAAGGAAACTTCTTTATCAAGCTGAGATCTGAGATGTCTCAATAACAGTATTAACAGTTAACTTGGGGACGCCTGGGTGGCTCAGCGGTTTGGTGCCTGCCTTCAGCCCAGGGTGTGATTCTGGAGACCCAGAATCGAGTCCCACATTGGGCTCCCTGCATGGAGCCTGCTTCTCTCTCTCTGTCTCTCTCTCTGCCTGTGTCTCTGCCTCTCTCTCTCTCTCTGTGTCTCTCATGAATAAATAAATAAAAACAAAACAAAACAAAAAACAGTCAACTTGGTTACCAGTCTGATTTAATCAAGTTGAACAATCCCTCTGACTTAGTTTGGTTGTTCATGCCACTTATTTGAAAATATCCATTACTTCCCAACATTTGATGCAGAGTAGAAGCTTATAAGTACATTTCCTCCATGTTAGATATGTGAATTGCCTTGTGAACCAACTTGGCAATTGTGGAAAACCTAGACAGTTCAGCTTCTAGTTGAATTGTGCTTTTTTTCCAAAGTCCAGACTTCTTTGTCCCCCTGAGGTGCCTCATGCCTCTTTCCTGTCTGCTTTGTTCTTATTTCCAGAGAAGAAATATGGCTTCTAGATTCAAGGTTAGAATCTAGAAAGCTGAATGTGTTGATATTTCCCTTGGGAGTTCTTACTCTGTCTCTACCCCATTTGGTTCTCATAGTATCTCAGCCTTTTAGACACTGCTTATGGCTGAGTAGTAGGAACAGGATCCCGGTGTGGGGTAGGATGCAAGAGTCATCATGATTTTCTCTCTGATGAACTAAAATACCTCTCATATCTCTGTGAAGATTCAGAAGCAAATCCAAGGAACCATAATTGGGGCTTAGATTCCACTTCAAAGGCATTGTCCCCACAACCTAGAGGAATTCTCGGATTTCTAAATGCTACACACAGCTACAGTATTCTTGTTGCCCTCTCCACCTGCAGCACAATGAAGCTTATCACAAGAGCCAATATGTAAATCAGAGTAATAGTAGTGTTGCTGTTACCATTCATGAGATAACTTGAGTTGCCTTAGGAGCACAGAGCATCTCACCCAAAGTATAAAATGCCATTGGATATGGCTACCAGACTTGCTCATTTCTACCCCTGTGGTGACCAAGACAGATCCTATGAACACTGGATAGGAAGCAAAAAATCAAAAGTGTTCTGAAAACTCCTGACTTACACATGGACTCTGGCTGTGCCTGCTATCGCATCTATCTCTCTGAATTCCAACCCTCACCTCTATGCCTTCCTCTCATCTCATTTCCCTCAGGTCAGTTGTTAGGAACAAGCTTCTGGGAACTGCACTGTCTCTGCCTTCTACAGATTTAGAATGAGGATTCACTGTCATAGGCTTAGTAGGTAGTTTGACTATATTTTCAGAATAAGACATATCCTTGATCAAAGGTTCACATTTCATGAGCAAGGTTGAGATCACAAGATATAGATAAACCCATCAAGGTTTTAGTTGACTTTTTTCAGATCCTTACTGCCTTTCTTCTGTTTTTCTCTCCTCCTCCAAAGCAGTCAAGTGGGTAGCCCTCCTCATGGCACAGTTTCACCCACATCAGAGAAAGGGAGTCTATGTAGGACTTTCCTATATTAACTGGTGATACTTTACTTTAAGGAATTTTTTTAAACTTAGTCTGTACTCTGGAACCAATAATGCATTATATGTTAATTAATTGAATTTAAATTTTAAAAAAAAATTAAAGATCCTAATCTCTAAAAGTAGTTGTACACTTTGACATCTGTAGGTGAATTTTTATGTTCTATATAAAAAAAAGTGTTTCAGATTAAAAATTTTTAGCACTTAAGGAAGGCTTGTTCTGTGTTTCTGTTAGTCACCTATGTGGAAGATGAATTAAGTTAGTCTCTCTCTCTTTTTTTAATACTGTTTCTTTACCAAGCATGGCTACTTTTCTCAATAATTAGAAACGCTGTTAGTACTTAAATAATACCACTATGGTGTTAGAGCCCAGCATGAGGGTAGCCTACAGGAAGTGTGCTTTTTTTTTTTTCTGATTGAGTAAAGGACCAAATATAAATAGCAGTTGTTTGACTATTATTTACTTTTCTTCAAGGGTAATCACACAGTAGTAGACCTTCTGTAGCTAAAACAGAGATTAGGGTAGAAAAAGAGATGGGAAATCTTCATACTCTTTCCCAAAACAGCCCTTTAGTCACCTTGGTTTCTTCTAGCTTCTCAACAAATTGCTCTTCATGTGAGTGAGATTTTATTAGCTCAAATGTCTGCAGACTTTTTGGTGGCCAATAAAATGACTATACATAAGATTATAAGTGGAAATTATTTATTTATAATTAGCTTTCATAAAACATTAGTAAGGGTTTTGCTTCCTATCAAAAGTACTTAACTGCCAGCAACATCAGTCATGACCTCATCTTTGGCATGTGAAGATGATTTTCTAGCAGTTAGATTCATGAAGTAATAGAATCTTTTTGCTGTGACATTGCTGTGACATGTCACCTTCTCTGACATCCAGGGATCCCTAAAATTCCTTTGGAGACCACTATGGTTTAGAAGAACCTGTGGTTCTAGTAAGTCTGTGGTTCTAGTAACTCTTCTCTTTAGCTGGAGCTTACAGATGATATACCTTCTTTCTAAATCAGGTGCTTTCCTGAGTCCTTTCTAAGGGTGGACAAGTGCCATTCAGTTCCTTGCCAGCCTCCTTCTCCTGGCTGTTCACCAGACTGAGGAAGTATTTCTTCTCTTATTCCATTCCATGAGAAGCTCGGGCTTTGGTGTTTAATTTCCATTTCCTGAGGTTATTTATTTTAGTAAGCCCATTGACTAATAAAGGAAATCCATTAATGACTGCATTTAATTATTTCTACCTTCATTGTCTTCCTTGTTATTGGAATACCATTAGCCATGTGAGGAAGTCCTCAAGCCATTAGAGGTTGTTGGGCTTAAACAGGAGGACACACTAAACTCTGATATGAAGGGTATGTGCGTGATTCTTATTGTGTAATTTGAATGAAAGTGATTCCTGGATCCTGCCCCAAAACTGCAGTCAGAGTCCACTTGGGCTATAATCAGCAATGTTCTTTGGTTGATAAGACTCAGAAATTCTGATCATAATGGGATAATTGGGATAGCCTTCTGCTGTTCTACCTCAATAGTACCTATTCTAGGGTTTAGTTATTGCTAGCTTATTTTCTTACCTTCTGAAAATCCCAGAATCAATTGGTTGCAGATCATTCCTCTTAAAAACAAGCACTTAGAAAACAATCACCAATATTAGACAGTCTGGTATGGAGAAAAATTTTGAAGACATTAAGTAGAAAACCTTTCTGTTATGGTGACATAGCTTCATAGTATGGGAACCAGTAATGCTTGGCTTTCCTTCTGTTCATAGAAATCTGGTGAGGTTTTTATACCATTCAACTCTTGTATCTATTACAAAGTTCCTCTACCCCAATGGCTTGCTTTCCTTCTCTCCAAATACTGATTCCTGCGGAGGTCTGTTGTGTGATGAGACGGTCTTTGCACACTGGCTATGACCCAGGTCAGCATCCACCTACCCTGTCTTCTCCTTTCTAAATACCATATGTAGGTGTTGTAGGGAAGTTGGTTCTTGGATCATTCCCCAGGGGTAGGGCTAAGTTCTGGACTTAAGTCATGAGTAGCCTGAAAGGAATGGTCATACGTGGAGGAAGTGACATCCAGTATCAAGTAAACAATTACCTTCAGGCAATTTGGATCCAGGTAAGTAACTGCTACATGTCTCTCCTTGATACCTTTATGGTGAGGATACTTCTAGAATATCAGACCTTTGAAATGTCCAGTTTTCAAATACCTTCTGTCTAGGTGTTTTGTAAATATACCAATGTAAAAGTATATTTAGAAGAAATGTGGCAAGGAGTGCAGACTAGATCTCTGGATTTATAGCAGCGTATAAGATGGGTATGTTTTTACTGCCTTCATTGCAGCTTATTGTTTCCTCGTACATTGTAAGTGCTCAATAAATGTTCATTGCTGCTATTATCATTACTAGTATTGTTATTATTTAGAATTCAGTGTGAGAGGCTAGTGTGGAGATTTCTCAGTTGGGATAGAATATACTAAAAAATATATTTTTAATTGTAGAGATTTATCTTAAGGTTATAAATATATTGCCTCTTATTAAAAGAACATTTAATTCTTTCTATAGCTTAGTCTTAATATAGTAGTATGACTTTAGTAGTTGCTTTCAGTCTTAGGGTCAGTAAGTAGGGCTGTTTATAATTAACTAGTTTAGGGCATTGTTTGAAAAGCTTTGCCTACCCAGGGCCCACTCTAGTGGACTGAACAGTTAAAAATTAGAACAGGAAAAAAAATTAGAACAGGAGGATTGCTGATAGATCATTCCTTTTATACAGTTGCTGAAGTTCTGATTATGTAAATTTGTGTGTATATTGTATAAATTCTTGATTTTTTTTTCATTTTATTTTTAAATATGAGGAGCTCTACTACTTGAGTTGTAAGACTGATATGGACACTCTTCACGATACTTAATGTGGATTTTCCCTTTCTTAATTATACTATGTGATCTTTAAATAGTTCTTCCTTCTCCTGGGCAAAAGTGCCTTCTAAACATTTATACCAAATTGTGTTTATTTTCTTGTAGTTGAGTTGGCAATGATCATGGACCGTTTGTACGGTGGTGTCTGCTATGCTGGCATTGATACGGACCCAGAGCTGAAGTACCCCAAAGGTGCTGGCCGTGTGGCATTCTCCAATCAGCAGAGTTACATTGCAGCCATCAGCGCTCGCTTTGTGCAGCTCCAACACAATGACATTGACAAACGGGTAAGCAACTGCTTGGGGTATAATTGCAATTGGAAAGAAATGAAGTTATTTTCTGGGCTCCTGTTGCGATCATAAGTGAGCAGTTCTACCTTACATGGTATCAGTCCATGAATCTCTCTAGACTGCCTGAAAAAGAGTACCCATGGTATGTATTGCAGGCATTAATGAACCTTCTGTCTCACCCGTGCTCTGGGTGATGTTACACTTATGAAAGTAACCCTGCAGAATTTAGCATACCAAAAGATGATGCCAACAGTACATTAAAAAGGTTGCCAGCTGGTGACCTGTTTGACCCATGTGGTGGACTTAAATAAGTTTGGACTGATATTTAATGTTCAGGAGTATACGTAAAATTTTGAAATTCCGATTTTTCTTAAAATTGCAAGATCACACATAACTGCAGTCATTGGAGCCAAATAGCTACTGCCCCTTCCAGTCCCCTCCAACTCCCTGTGGTACTGTTTATAACACATATGCATGTGCATTACCTACACTTTTGCTCCATGATGTTGCCTGCCTGGCCACTAAAGGCATTCTAATTTGCTACCTCTGATCTAAAGAGGGGACACATGATAGAGTTGGAGGGAGTTGGTGTGCTTAGTTGGTTTTGCAGAGAGACATAGGTTTAAATCCCTAAAATCCCAGCTCTACCATTCTTTGGAAGTTTGGGGGAATAGAAGGTGGTAGGAAGAGATAATCTGAGACCTATGTTAATGGATTAACAGAGGAAGTAGAGAATAGATCAGGTAGTGAACACACACCTCCCTTTGCAATTGTGCAATGGCTGTTAACACTTCCAGCAAAGGATGTTCTTGGGGCATACACTGGACTGGAATAAATATGTTATTTTTTAAAAAAAGATTGATTTATTTGAGAGAGAGAGAATGGAGGAGAGTGGGGAGAGAGAATCTAAGGAGACTCTGAACTGAGCACAGAGCCCAACGTGGGGCTCAGTCCCAGGACCCTGAGATCAGGACCTGAGCCAAAACCAAGTTGGACACTTAACTAACTGCACCATCCAGATTCCTCAAATATGATCTGTTATGAAGTTTCACCTATACTCTCTATGATTGTCTTTGACTAATTTTGTATAACTGACTTAAGTTCTTAGAAGGTGAAAGTTTCAGTTGGTGATGGATTTTTAAATATTCATCAAGTTATATTTTTATTAAGACATATATAGCTGATCAAATTGCAAAAGGCAGTGCCTAAAATAAACACTTGCCACATTACTCGGCTCCTTAAAAGTAAGTAGTGGTGGTTTGTTTTTTAATTAAAATAAACAAAATAATTCTTTTCCAGAATTTTGAAACATTCTTTGAATTAATGGAGATTCAGAGGTGTGATAAAGATTCAACTCCATTCCTAGCTTTCAGTCACCCACTGCATCCTGACCTTTCCCTTTTGCAGCAGTAATCCCCCTACAGACTGTAAGCTCCACAGAGATAGGCACAGTGTCTGCTTCATTCCCATTGCTCACCCATTGCTTGACATATAACTACAGTAGTAGGTGCTTGGTAAACCTTGGTTGAATCGACGAATGGTTATACTTGGAAGATTTTCTTTATTGCTACTGGTGCCAGTGGACTTGCTTGTGCCCATACTTTTGTGAGTCTGAAACACCAGGCTCTGTTACATTTAGACTGCTATTGCACTCACCACTGGTGACCCCAGGTAATAAACTTAACCCAAAAAGCCTTAGATTCTCATCTGTATGCTTTCTTTGTTCCTCTCTGGAGCCAGAACTAGTGACTAAACAGGAGATGGTACTAGAGTCGATAGACAAGGCTCCATTTCCCTTGCTTCTGTCTTCCCTTTGCCCCCAGGCAAACAACCTCCTGACCTGTTCCTTAATAGAGGGAAGTACACTTGCTCCAGAGAATATGCCAATCTTTGAGCCCCTTATAAAATCACAGTAAATTCAGATACTGTTTGTTTTGTTGCCCACCCCTATTCTTTCCCCTGCTATACTCAGGCCCTCCATATTTCTTCCCAAAGACTCAGAACTAGGTAAAAGAGAGGTGGCTTTTCCTTTGTGAGCATGATCATAGGCCATGCTTGTGAGAATATATTTGGAACATTAAACTTTAAACTTCTGAGAACTCAAGAAAGCCATTGAACTATTTTCTGCCCACTGCATTTGGGTTAACCGCACCTTCCATCTTGTGGAGTAGTCCTTGATAAATACTTAGAGTACCTGCTCGTTGTAGTGGCAAGAGTATGGAATTTGGAGCTAGAATAGATTTCAGTACTTTTAAATCTCTGCTGCAGTAGTCACTGGTGATGCCAAGTAACTTACTTAATGCCAGGAACCTCAAGTCTGAAGAATAAATGGGATTTGAAGATTGAACAGCCAGCGCTGTATGACCTTTGGATAGATGGTTAGTAACTAGCACTTGATGGTTAACAGTATTCATCTTGCTACAAGTGCACTTAATACTAACATCATTAATATTACATAGCTTGAATTTTATCATTTGCTCACTGAAGATGAAAAGACAAACTGGTTAGTGAAAAAAAGCACTGGGTCAGAGTCATGTGGCTGGGTCTACATCTGGTCCTGTTTCCCATGGGCTATGTGACTTTGGGTAGATCACTCAAATGCTGAGTGTTAGTGTATAAATGAAGGCAGTAGCAATAGCCCTGTGAGAAGACCGAGAGAGGAAGTGAACAGAAAGCAGCACATAACATGTGGATAGTGGGACTATTGCTGAGGTCACAAGAACACCACCTCCATCCACATGGTGTCCAGAATGGACCTGTCCATTCTGCAGTGCCCTGGAATGAGAATCATCTGAGGGAGACAATTGGAAATCATTGCAAGTGGCACAGTCCTTCCTCTCTTCTATCTCCCAGCTCCATCTTCATGTTCTTTGTTTGCCTTGCCCAATATGGAGGCCATTTTCTTCATTATGAGAGATGCAAACCAGCTTCCATCCTGAGATAGGCTCCTTTATCACTCTTCTTTTGTGAACATTATACTCCCTTCCCCTGACAGTTACTCTGTCCTCTTATTTTCTTTGTACTTTGAACATAGCCAACAATATCTTAATTTTTTGACTCTGGCATTTTGAGCTTCTGTTAACTATATCCTTCTTAGATGCTTTTTAAAGTTCATCCCTAGTTTTATTTTTATCTTTCTCCTAAAGCATAAGTTTGAGCTTTCCAGAGAGCCCCCATTATATATTAGCACATCAGTTTTTCCTTAGGTAATGCTCTTTTTATTTCTCAGGGCCTCTATTCTTGATTGTCTACAGAGAATTTCTCATTAGGCACAACCTTCTTTCCTGAATAATCCCTCTAGGTTTTTTAGCAGTAGTCTGGCTAAGGTTTTGTAACTTGCTGTTCTAAAAGTCGGTGGCAGATATCTTCCTGTGCCCATAATCCCTTTTCCTTGCTATAGTAGGTTCCAAGTCCTAGTCTCCTTCCTTCTTATGTTAGCCTCTTATGTTAGCAACTTTAAACCAAGACCTTGACTATTTTAAATAGCATCAGCCTTTATTACCCTTCTGTTCAAAGGAACTTCCTTTTTGTCTGCATCACTATGAATGCAGATATAATGCCATCAGCGAATTTTTTAAAAACCCTACAGGTAGCATTTTAAAGCCACTTGCTTGCTGTTTACAGCCCCTAAATCTTTTCATTTTTGCCCCATATGGAGAGTGGAAGAGGGCCATCTGCTGAGCAGCCAGGAACCATGGAAGTTCTAGGACTGCTTAAGGTGTGTGTTCTCAGGTTGCATCTTTCCTAGGTAAACCGTGGGAGGTAAATGAAGAAGAATTTGACTGATGTATTTCCTTTACTCTTTCGTATCCAACCAGCTTTTCTCAAAAAAGACATCTCTTTTGAGAATTTAAAGTCTTACATATTTATTGTTGTTGTTATTGCTGGTCTTTGTCTAAGTTTTTAGATGAAGTGGCTATTAGAGAAAATAGAATCTTTACAGATTTGATTTCTTCTCATAGTCCCAGAGACGTTTTGGCTTGCCTATGAATATAAAATAAAATACATCAATACGTAACATCTATGGGGACTGTCCATCCTATAGCTTTGGCACTTTTATATCTGCTGTCATTTCACTCATCCATGATGCTACCATCTTTAAGGAAGAGGTGACATTTTTGTTTTTTGTTTTGGTAATAGCTTTATTTAGATGTAACTCACATACCATATAAATCACCAATTTAAAGTGTATAGTTCAACAATTTTTAGCATATTCATGATTTACATAGCTGTGCAGCCATCACCACAGTAAAATTTAGAATATAGGAAGAGGCATTGATATACGAAGAGGTATTATAATGTATAACCTTCAAGCCTCTGGTAAGAGAATTAACTGAACAATAACCCCCAGTGAGGGAGGGAGTGGGGACACTGCATTTATCCTGTTTGGTTATTATAGGAAGAAGACCCTCCTTATTTAACCTGTATTCCTTGAAGTCACAGGAACAAGGTAGCCCAGGCTGCTGGGGTAAGCTTCGGAGCCAGCTTTGGCTGTAATTAGACTCCCCCAAGAGTATGTGACTTATTCAAGTTGGCTGATAAATCTACACATCAACAAACTTCTTGCTGTGGTATGGTTGGCAATGGGAGGACTCATAGAGGTGAAAGGGGCTTCTAATGGTACTTCCTTCCAGAATTGCCAGGGTTTTGATTCTGCCACATGTACCCAAAAGTCTGAATGGGAATGCTCCGCACATGGGTGGCACTCAGTAAATGTGTAGAATAAATCAGGATGATGTATGGGACAAGGCCTGGATGTGACCAGGGAAAGCTGTCAAGGATACTGGAATGAGTCACTCATCTCTTATCTGGACATCTAGAGGAGCTTCCCCACTGGTCTCCCCAGTTCAGCTTAGCCAATCTCCAGTGCATTCTTTACATAAAAACCAGAATGATCTTTTAAAATCATAATGTGAATCATGTCTTCCCCTCCTTTAAACCTTTTGGTTATGTTCTACTGCCATTACAATAGAGTCAAAATCCTTAATTAATATTCC